GTTGCAGTAGACGGAGGAATTTGGCAGTTGGGTCAAGGCATATAGTGGGATTAAGGAAGAAATGCATCCCCTCCAAAGTGTGTTTTTGCATACAGCAGGATGAGGGGGGAGGGGGACACTCACCATCGGCAAGTGAAGGGAAAAGAACTCCCCCTAGTCCTAAGATTGATAAGGAGAACACTTACAGTAAAATATGGAGGAGATGTGGGAAAACATCACGCACATACGTGTGTGTGTGTGTGTGTGTGTGTAGGTCTTTGGTTATTCGGGTTTTCTCCCACGTCAAATTGGAAGTGTCTTGGCGACGTTTTGACGAAGTCTCATTCGTCATCTTCAGGCTGGTGTTTTCAGCTTCGTGCTTCTAGGAGCAATGTGTGATTGTAGCTGTTTCTTCCTCAAGCCACTTGGAGTAACTGTTCACTACAATGAAGAACACCTGTCCTTGGAAGGGTCCTGCATAGTCTATGTGAATCCTAGTCCAGGGGGTTTGCGTGGTCTCTCAGTGATGTACTGGGGTTTGAGGCATTTTAGGTCTGGTCTGCTGGCAAACCTGGCATCCTTTCACTTGAGCCTCAATATCCTTATCCAACCCTGGCCACCAAAAGTAGCTTCTCGTGAGTGCCTTCATCCTGACTATTCCAGGATGTCCCTCATGCAGAGATTCTAAGACTCTTGCCCTTAATGTGTGTGGGACTATAAACCTACTTCCCCATAGAATGCAGCCATGGTATGCTGATAGCTCATCTTGTCTTCTGATGAAGCTGTGAAATTCTGTCCCAGGACTGGCCACCCCCTCAGCACCCAGTTCAAAACATGACTGAGTGTTTTGTCAGTGGCTGTTTCAGCAGCCACATCCCTGGCATGAAGGGGAGACTCTGGCACATCCTGGATTGCCAGGATACGTGCAGCAGGTGCGGGGTCTGCTTCTGAATTAGGCAGGGGCAACCTTCTGAGTGCATCAGCGTGGCCCATTTCCTTGCAGGCTTATGGACTAGCCTGTAATTATAGGCTGCCATAAAGATTGACCACCTCAGCATCCTTGGGGAAAGGTTTGCTTGTCTGCAGTAAACAGACCTAGAAGAGGTTTGTGGTCTGTAAAGACCGTAAATGGGTGGCCATAAAGGAAATTGTGGAATTTCTTTATTCCTGCAACTATGGGTAAAGCCAATTTGTGTGTAATTTCTTTCCACTGGGGAATAATAATGCTATGGGAATAATTGAATTGAATAATATGCTATGGGAGCTTGCCTCCCGTTAGCCATTAAATGGCTCAAAACTGCTCCTATCCCGTATAATGAAGCATCACATGCAATACTGATAGGCAGTTTTTCATTGAAATGTGTTAACACAGAATCTGAAGACAGCAGTGATTTGACTGCTTTGAAACTGTTTTCGTGGATGCTAGTCCACTGCCATGGTGCCCTTTTATCCAGGAGCCTATGCAGAGGCTCTGCTAAAGCTGCCTTATGAGGAAGGAATGCATGGTAGAAGTAACCCTAAAAATGCCTGCAGCTCCCCCTTTGACTTAGGTCTGGGAGCCTGCTGAATACCCTTAAGCTTTCAGTCAGCGGGGTGGATTCTGGCAACGTCTATCCAAAATCCCAGGAACTCTGTGGAGTTCACATCTATTTGACATTTGTCTCTCTTGAGCTTCAGCCCTGCTTCGTGGAAGTGCTGAAGAACAGCTCTTAGACATTCTGCTAATATTTCTGCTGACTCCCCAGCAATTAGCACGTTGTCAAAATAAGGACACATACCTGGAATATTTTTGAGTGTGTATTCCATCACGCTCTGAAAAAGCCCTGGGGCTACACTGACCCCAAACTGCAGGCAATGAACCCACTATGGGTAACTATTGTTTGTGCCTCTGCAGTGGCATCATCCACAGGCATTTGCTGATACGCCTGTGCCAGGTCCAGCTTTGCGAATAAGCGACCTCCTTGTAATGATGCCAGGATGTGGCTAACTACAGGTAACGGGTACGCATGTTGCTGAAGTGCCTTATTAATGGTGCACTTATAATCAGTGCAGATGCGCACTTCACCATTCACTTTAACTGGTGTGACTATGGGGATTTCTCACAAACTGTTATCTACCGGTTGCAGAACACCTTGCTGCACTAACTTATCTAATTCTGCATCAATCTTGGGCTTAAATGCAAAAGGCACTCTACAAGGCTTTACTCTGATTGGGGCTATGGTTGGATCAAGGTGGAGAGCAATTAGTGCTCCTTTGTACTTCTCTAAATTGGGACTGAATACATCTGCAAACTCCTGGCAGACAGCTGCCAAATCTGCTGTTTGGGTTCTGTTGATGCCAGTCACAAGGATGCCCAGGGCATCAAACCAGTCTAAGCCGATCAGGCTTCTGCACTGGCCTTCGACTACCATGATGTTGAGGGGACCCTCAAACTCTTTGAACTTCACTTTTAACATGGCTTCGCTTTTAACCGCTATGCGGGAATTTTGAAAATCTGTCAACACTAGATTTGACAGCTTGAGTCTGACTCATTTCCTGCCATGTAATTGAAGGTTTTGTAGGAGATTATGGACAGGGCTGACCCGGTGTCCAATTCCATTGAGCATGGAACTCCTTGTAGCTTGACTCTTAGTCTAAGCTTTTCTTTGAGGAGGTGATGGGCTCCTGTTCTCAGAATGCTCCTTCTTCCGGAGCAATATCCTACTCTATTTTACCCCAGAGCCCCTTTACCTCTCCTGGGAAAGTCTTCAGGTGGAGATTCCATCTGGCGACCTTTACAGACGATAGCCACATGCTTGGCACACAGCCGTATGAAACCTGCACTCTGAGCGCTGGTGCCATCCTCTGCAGCCAGCACAGCTAGGGAATAAGGCTGTCTTGTCAAGTGGCTGCTGCCTTCTTCCTGGAAGCCTCTGCACCCGGTCGATCTCAATGTCCTTGTCTGAGTCGTCTGCTCTCTCTGAATCTTCATGATGAACAGCAATCTGGCTGGGGGAATTCTTTGAGGGTTGTAAAGCCTTTTTTTTATTAAATAATTTTTTTTATTTTTCCAAACTCTCCCCCATACATATACCGTGATATTTATCAGATGTTAACATACATTCTTTTTACATTCATATATAAGATATGTTTAATAAAATGAAATAAATACATACACATGACTTTTGGTGTTGCTCGTCCATTTCCCTTTTCACTGTATCCACACTCCTTCTTCTCTACCTTCCTTCTCCCTTTCTTCTCTTCCCTACTCCCCTTTTCTTCCTCTCCTCTTCTCTTTCCTTCACCACTCTCCTCCCCTTTCTCCCCACTTCTCCTCTTCTCCTCCAACCTTCCTACTTCCTTCTCCCCTCCTTTACTTTTTTATCTTTCCTCTCCTTTCTTCCCCCTCATCCCTCTTCAGGGGTAATGTCCAAGCAACTCCTCTCTCAAATTTCCCTATCTGTATTATATACAATAAGATTAATTTTCTCTTACATTAATACTTCTATTTATCTAACCTTCTCGGTATATACTTCTATAAATATTTATACATGGGTTGTAAAGCCTTGACTGCTCCTCTGGCGGCCTCTTCTGCCATCACTTCTTTCAAGGTGTCCTGGAATGTCAAGGTCTCCTTTGCAAACAGCCTCTGCTATAAGTCTCTGTTTCTTAGGCTACATACCAGTCGGTCCCTGAGCCGATTTTCTAAATCTGGAAATTCACAGAGTCTGGATGCCTGTCTCAGGGCAGCCACGAATTCAGCAGCTGACTCCCCTGGCTGCTGTTCTCTCTGCTTGAATGCGTGTCTCCATGCAATGATAGACAGTCTTGGTTCAAAGTGTTCTTTGAGTCTTCTTTTTAAGTCAGCATTGGTAACTGACTCCAAGCTGGCTGGGGCAATTAAATTTTCAGCTATGTCAAAAGTTGCCTGGCCACATACACATAGTAAAGTTGCAGCCTTTAGTCCATCTTCCCTGACTTGGTTTGCCCTCAGGTAATTTTCGACCCGGGAAACGTAAGAGCTCCATTGCTCTGGATGCGATAAGTCGAATTCGGATAGCTTGCCTATCTTGGCCATAGCTGTCTGTTACTGAGTCTCTCAATGCCTTATTCTGCTAAGGGCTTCTGTGAGAATCCTAGGGATGGATCCCTTAGGATAGTGGTGCCTCTAGCGTGGCTTGCTAGCAGGTAGAAGGGGAGAACACTGTTCCTACCAGGGCGCTGAGGCCTAGTCTTACCCCTTAGTGACTCTCAGCTCTTAGACCTCCAGCTCTTTCTTCCTTAGCAGCATATCCCACCTTCTTTGCCACTGTTATATACTGGACCCAGTGAGGCATTGAAGAGACCAGAATGAAAGTAACAGCTCATTTATTCAATCCACACAGAAGTGGCTCTAACCGCTGCTTGACTCTTATTTATATGGACCGCCACTAGGTGGCAGCCAATGAGTTTAAAGCATACATTCCCGCCTAAAACACAGGCTTGCAATATATATATATACAGTCACTTAAGGATTTGAATTGAACATATTTAGTTAACCGTTTTATGATAGCCCTATGAAATTGGGTTAATACACAACAGGCTGACTGTGAGTCAATCAGTTTTTTAGCCTGGGAAATCAACCTACAAGGATTACTCTAAAACAATAAAACTAAAACAAAGTTGCAGTAATGTTGTTTCTTTTAATTGAAATTATGAACTTCAGCTGAAAAGAATATTTCTTTGTGCTAAATTTAATAAGAACTGTTCATTTCAAGTTTATAATATTTTGTGCATCAAATAATTAGAAAGAATAAGCATGTACAAATCTAAATGAAATCATAACCTAGGGAAGGTAGCAGTTTGTTGTTGCTGCAGTTCTCTTATATATCTTTGATGTGGCTGCTTCTGTTTATGTATTTATGTTAGGTTATTAATGGTAGCTGACTGTATTTTAAGCAAATAAACTCATCACAGGTCAGTGTAGCACATGGCAATTATACATTTGATTTTGTACCTTCTCAAAATTGTATTTCACTTACAGACGTACCTTTCTGTTTCAGGCACAATCTTGGTAGACAGCATGTTGATCAAAGGAACAGCAGGAGGATCTGATCCCACTATTGAACTCACGTTAAAAGATAACACAGATTACTGGGTCATTTTAGATCCCATCAACCAGAGACTTTATCTTAACAGCACTGGACGAATTCTGGACAGAGATGTAAGTTGTTTTCTCCATCACTCATCAATTCGATTCTTCTTTTACATTAAACTTCTAGTTTCAAGATTTTTTTCCTTTTCCTTTTTCTTTTTTTAATTTTAATTTTTATTTATTTATGAGTAATGAAAATAGGAAATGCACATTTCTGTCGTAAGCGTACTTTTTACTGTGAAAGAAATTCCATTGAACTCTTCTAAATATATTAAATTGTAGCCATAGTAGGTGTCTCAAGTGATGGATGTAAGTTAAGAACCAAGTATCCTATCAAGCAGATTTTTATATTTCCTTGGTCATAGTCAAAATAATAGTATAATTTTTATCAAATGGCATAAATGACTTGATTCATACAATGGGCTAGGCCTTAAATTTCCATTACAAATGACAGTGTCTGAATTCATTCCATGCACAAATAAGAAAACTGTCTTTTACTTGGTGTGATTAATTAATAAATATACTAAGAATTGGGTAACTATATTGATGCAAACTCTGAATGTTTTTTTTTTTTAGTTTTAACACTTGAGGTTTTATATGAAAAGCAAATAAGCCAATGGTTTCAATTTAGTAAGCTAATAATAAATATTTAAGGGAGTTGTGGCCATATCTGCCTTAATGGTTGGATTTCAAAGCATTAAAATAAGGGCTGAAGAATCTGTGGTTTGCAGTGTATTAGCATACTTTAAAGGCCTGTTTATATTCTATCAAAGGTCCACTCAAATCCCCATTTGGATACTGTTATCCAAATGCTATTATCACTTTAATGTAAATGTTAAAGGGACAACTAAGTTCTTGAGAAAGTTAGCAACTGTTCTAGTAGATACTGGGAGAAAAATTTATGATCAATCATAAAACTTTTTAGGGCAGTTGTTGAAAGTTCTGCTCTGGCCCTATAATATCTCTGAATGGACTCTTAGTTCCTTAATTTTTTAAGAGCACCCAACTCAATAGCTCTCAATATTCTGAGTGGTTGCATTTAATAATATTAGCAGTAATAGTAGAGATAAGAAAGACAGAGTACATATTAAGAGTGGTGGAAAGACCATGGAAATAACATTGCTATAATGGAATGTGTAGTTGAAAGAGAGGTAGAGGAGAATGTTGGTAGTAGCACCTCAGCTTCCAGGAAAGAGGCAACTCACTCCAGAGAGGGGCCTATGGCAAGAGACTGCATGTCCAGGACTGGGTAGTAGTAGGAAGAAAAGGTTCAAGGTAGCCACACTCTGGAATGTCCCTGGATATACTGTATTTATTGGGTTAGAAAATTATAACTTTAGTCTGGTAAAATTCTGTCTATTAGATGCAAGCAAATAAAGATCTGGACTTGAATGGATCTCACTGTCATTTCTGGGGATTGGGCCTGATATCTGCTGAGGTTGTTGCTTCTATTAGAAGTGATACTGTTTGCTGGACAGATTGACATCTTTCCAACAGTGTTGCTCATGTATGCATTATAATAGGATACATATGAAGACTTATACTATGCTTAATCTGCTTCTCATCTCAAAATAATGAAAACGATGAATTCAGTTTCCACCACTTATGACTGAAAGAGGCTCTAGTAGAAAAGGAGACAGTTGAGAATATATGTGGTTCCAGGGCACTATTTGCCCACTTTTGTCTAAGATAAAAAAAAGTAACCTGATTATAAATGATATAAATGTGATGCAGCTTTGAAAGATCCTCATCAACGGTTGCTTTACGAATGAACAATGGTTTCCAAATGTAAGATTTTGCTATTTATTTGTGTCTAATTTCTATGAACAGGCTGTAATATAATTTTTGAAAGAATTATTTGATTTCCTATGATTATAAATGCAAGTAGTACAAGATATTGTGAGTTCTGTGTAGCTATAATATTCTTGATGTCATAGGTTCATGATATAAGAAGTAAATCTATCAATTACAAGGCAAGATCAATTTTACTAAGGAAAGAAGAGAAATGCCTCTACTGTCTATTCAAGCAATTTATTCTTAGGTAATTATCATTTCATTAGGTAGCCTAAAAGAAATTTTAGAGCTCTGGATCTTGACTCCATTGTATTGCAAATAAAGAAGTTCTCTAAAATACAAGGTTGACTGATATTATATATATATTTTTTTTATTGAAAATTTTTTATTTTTTTAAAACATACAATCATTTATAAAAATACAATAAAATTTTAAAGTAGAGAAACCCCCCCCTTACCCTCCCTCCCACCCCCAACCCCCCTCCCTTCACTTCCCAGAGCAGAATACAAGGTTAATAAATATGTATATATATATAATAATTAAGAAAAAAGAAAAAAAGAAAAAAGAAGAAGAAGAAGAAAAAAAAATATCATAATTAACCTTTAACTCCATAACCTATAAAACAATTCTCTATAATATTTAATATTCATTCATAAAATAAATGAAACTTTTTAATTCCATACTTTTTCTGAATATAATCTATCCACCTTCCCCATACAGTAATATATCTTTCTTGTGTATGATCCTTTAAATAAGCAGAAATTTTCGCCATTTTTTGCAAAACTAGATACTTTAAATATCCATTCTTCTAAAGTAGGCAAAGAATCTTTCTTCCAATATAAACCTACTAATAACCTTGCTGCAGTTATTAAATTCAGCATCAAAGTAGTTTCTTTTTCATTTAAGTCAACAAAAATACCAAGTAAAAATAGTTGAGGAGTAAACTTTATCTTTTTTCTAAAAATCTTTTGAATGTTCCACCAAATCATAATCCAAAAAGCCTTTACTTTTTTACAATTCCACCAAATATGAAAGTATGTCGCATCATTGTTGCCACATCTCCAACATTTGGGCTGTATATTGGAATACATACAAGATAATTTTTTAGGATCTAAGTGCCATCTATAAAACATTTTATAAAAATTTTCTCTCAAATTTTGAGCTTGTGTAAATTTAACATTTCTTATCCAAATTGTCTCCCATAAATCCAATGAGATCGGCTCCTGTATATTCTGAGCCCATTTAATCATACAGTCTTTAACCAATTCTGTTTCCGAATCTAACTCTAATAAAACATTGTATATTCTTTTTATATGAGCCGGACTTTGGTTTTTAATCTGAATAACCAATTGTCTATCTTCTAGTGTTATCCCCTCTTTCTTATCTACAGTCCATCTATCCATTATTTGTAAATATTGAAACCATGACTGTAGAATATTTTGCTGCCTTAATACATCTAAGGATTTCAAATGCCAATTCGAACCAGAGCAAATTAACAATTCTTTATACGAGATTTTGTCAAAATTTGTCCCCTTAGAAGTTCCCTCAATTGCATGTCTGGGAATCCCCCAGATAGGTATTTTATAATTTAATGTATAATAATACTTCTTCCAAACAAGAAGTAAGGCATTCCTCAAAATATGTGATTTAAAAGTCCGATCAACTTTCTTATTAAAAATTAAATATGCATGCCAACCATATATTAAATCCCAACCTTCCAAAAAAAGAATATCCATATTTGTTAAATTAAGCCAATCACTTAACCAAGTTAGGGCGGCTGCATCATAATATAATTTCAAATTAGGTGCCTTAAGTCCCCCTCTTTCTCGAGCATCCTGTAATATCTTAAATTTAACCCTTGGTTTCTTCCCGGCCCATATAAAATTATTGATACCCTTTTGCCATTCCTCCAAATTTGCCTCTTTTTTAAGAATAGGTATCATCTGAAACAAAAAAAGAAACTTTGGTAGAACATTCATTTTTACAGCTGAAATTCTCCCCAACAATGACAATTGCAATTTTTTCCAATCTCTTAAATCCTTTTGGACTTTTGCCCATAGTGGTTCGTAATTGTTCTTATACAATTTTCCATTTGAAGCAGTTAGATAAATATTTGGGAGTATATCTGACTGATATTATATTTTTGATTGTAGGATACAAGGAAACTCATTTAGAAATTGAGCTCAAATGTGAAAACATACATTTAAGAATCTTCCCATAAGATTGAAAGCAAGTATTATTTGTATTAAACAATTTTAAAAGCACCCAACTCATTAGCTATTAATAGTCTGAACAGCTGCGTTTAATAAAATTAGCAGTAGTAGTGGAATTAAGAAAGATATGGTACACATTAAGACTCAAACAACATAACAGAAAAATAATAGTTGTTGCTATATCCCAGAAACTGAAAGAAAAAGAACTGATGTTGATTTCTCATTTGTCTTATAAATGAAATAATAATTTTGTTTGCCATAGCTTGATTGCAATTTGGTTGAGCTGCTGATGGCCAAATAAATTTGCTTGGATGGGGGCATTCTTGCCACAGACTACTAAATAGATGTACCTCTTATAAGAGATATATTTGCAAATCATAAATTCATACTGTACACAGAATAAATTGTACTTTTGAAAGCTAAAGCTGGAGGTGATTCTGTGAAATGTTTGTAAAAATTGCTTATAGTTCACTTCTTCAGTCTCAATCAGTGCCTTTTACTCCTATTATTTTTATGAGTGTCTGTGGGAAATGTTCACATACATGCCTGGTATACGTGCTGCACTATGGCAATGATGTCCTTTTAGCTGTTTCTGGACTTTACAAAACATAGTTTGTGGACACCAACAGGTCCTTGAGTTATGACCATTTGTTCAGCAACTGTTTAAAGTTAGTCCTGAATGAATGTACTTACACCCAGTCCCAGACTTTAACAGCCATTACAGCATCCCTGCGGTCATGTGTTCAAAACATGAGCACTTGGCAGCTTGCCTACACTCACAACCTAAGGGGCACTTCAACTCTCCACACACTATAATGGTATGTGGGAAAGACCTTGGGAGACTGGATAAAGAGATGCTGCCAAGGGAATGGTCAGATAAGAGACAATGTAGTCCATGATAGTGGACAGAGCAAGAGGCTCAGAAAAGACCCTCTCTAGTTTCTGGACCTGTAAAGGAGAAGGGAGGGATGTACTTTCTGTCTTGCAAAAAGTCTTATCAATGTAGCTTTACAATAAAGTAGAATTAGCTCATCTTATTGTATTTCCTATCTGGTTTTGCCC